TAAATAAAATGCAGTATGATGGAATGTTATTCAACTGAAAAGGAAAGGAAATTATGACACATTACGACATGGATGAAGCTTAAAGAAATTACGCTAAGTGAAACAAGCCAGTCAGTGAAAGGACAAATATTGTTCTTCTCCACTTATATGAAATTCCTAGAGTAGTCAAATTTATAGGAATGACAAGCAGAATGGTAATTACCAAGGCCTAGGGAGAATGGAGAGGTGTTTGATGCCTAGGGAGTTTCAGTTTGCAAAGATGAAAATTTCTGGTGGTGGAAGCTGGTTGTATTAGTCAGTTTTTTGTCACTTTACCTAAAATATGAGAGGAGCTTCTTTGGGAAAGAAAAAGTTTATTTCAGCTCACAGCTTGAAGATTGCAGGACCAGGCAGCCCCACAGTCTGGCTTCTGGTAGAGGCTGGGTAGTGGCAGCTACAGAGGCAGGCTCCTACAGTGAGATAGGAAGCAGAGAGAATCTAGGCCGAACTTGAACTCAAAGCATAAAAACTACCTTCCAGAGGACATGCTCCCAGTGACCCAAAGATCTACCACCAAGTCCCAACTCCTAGATTCCACAATTAGATCAATCACCACCCTTAATGAATCAATTATTAACATTAAGACATTGGGGCTGGCACTTTGGCGTAGCAGGTAAAGCTGCCGCCTGCAGTTCCGACACCCCATATAAGAACCAGTTCAAGTCCTGACTGTTCTACTTCTGATCCAACTCCCTACTGATGCATCTGGGAAGGCAGTGTAAAATGGCCCAAGTCCTTGGGCCCCTGCACCCATGTGAGAGATCGGGAAGAAACTTCTGGCTTCGGATCGGTCCAGCTCCAGCCTCTGCGGCCATTTGGAGAGTGAACCAGCAAATGGAAGATTCTCTCTCTCTCCCTCTCCCTCTCCCTCTCTCTCTGCCTTTCAAATAAACAAACAAATCTTAAAAAAAAAAAAGTTAAGACATCAGAGTATGATATCATACTCTGCATGAGTTTGGGGGAGAAAAATCCTACTCAATCCATAACAGTGGTTATGATTGTACAATATTAGCAGACTTAATATTACTGAACTGCAAACTTAAAATGGTTAAAATAATACATTTTATGTTAAATATAGTTAACAGAATAATAATGCAGAAGTGGGAGAGTGGGTAAGGATTGAGATGGGACTGAAGCTGATGGTGTTGGAGATAGGTATTGCCTATATGGGGGTACATTGTACTCTTCTCTCTAATTCTATATGTTTGAAATTTTCCTCAATTATTTTTGTGCCAAACAGGATTTACACAAAGACACAAGAAAATTAAATTTTAAAGAAAAGACTGAAACAGAAAAGTGGCTAGTAATACTCAACAGGAAAATGTTATCACAAAGAAGATGGAAATTATGACCAAAGATTTTGCCCCAAATTACTACAACCTAAGTAATATATCTTGTTAGGACCTCAATGAAGAGAAGGAGAGCCAATGGAAAAGATGAAAATTGATATAGAAATGTATCAGGGTTTAAAATGACTTACCTCCTCTGAAAACAGAAAATTGGAATTGAATGAGATTGCTGCACTTAAGTGTTTATAGGCATATGTAATTTTAAAGAAACAAGAAACACTGAATTTAAACTTAAAACATGTTTTATTATTGCTATGATTACTAATTATTGTTATTATTTGAGAAACAGATGGAAACAGACTGCTCCCATTGGATGGTTCACTCCCTAACTGGCCCCAGTGGCTGGAGCTAGACCTAGGTCAGAGAGAGCAGCAAGGAACTCAACTCCAGTCTCCTACATGGGAGGCAGGGGCCCAATTTCCTGGACCATCACTGCTGCCTCTCAGGGTCTGCATTAGTAGAACCTGGAATCAGGAGGCAGAGCTGGGAATCAAACCCAGGCATTCTGACGCCAGATGTAGACATTTCAACTGCTAGACTAAATGCCCACTCCAAATTGTGCATATTCTTTAAAGGAGGTAGAGCCTAGACTTCAAGTCAAGATTTTTATACATGGGGCTGGTGCTGTGGCATAGCAGAAAAAGCCACCACCTGCAGTGCCAGTGTCCCATATGAACGCCGGTTAGAGTCCTGGTGCTCCACTTCTACTCCAGCCCTCTGCTGTGGCCTGGGAAAGCAGTGGAAAATGGCCCAAATCATTGGGCCCCTGCACTCAGGTGAGAGACCCAGAAGAAGCTCCAGTTTCCTGACTTCGGATCTGCCCATCTCCAGCTATTGTGGCCATTTGGGGAGTGAACCAGTGGATGAAAGAGATCTCTCTCTCTCTCTCTCTCTCTGCCTCTCTATAACTCTGCCTTTTAAATAAATAAGTCTTTAAAAAAAAAAATCCTTCCCTCAGTGGAGGATGGTCCAAGTGCTTGGGCTCTGTACCCACATGGGAGACCAGGAGGAAGCACCTGGCTCTTGGCTTCAGATCGGCGCAGCACGCGCTGGCCGTAGCAGCCATTTGGGGGGTGAACCAACGGAAAAAAGAAAGACCTTTCTCTCTGTCTCTCTCTCTCTCACTGTCTAGCTCTGCCTGTTCAAAAAATAAAAAATAAAACATAAATCCTTCCCTATTCTCAAGTTAGAGAACATAAACTAAATTAAATAAAAAAATTTTTTACACAAAGCCAGCATTTTCCATGCACCGAAAAGTTAATTGTCACCTTGACCTAATACTTTTGCTGTGCTCTGTTGGCCACATTTTAGCTTCTTGGCATCTCCTTACTTTTTATTGTTCACGTTTGATTTTTGACACCTTCTGTGTAACCATCAGCTTGCCTTTAAAAGGCACATTGCAGACTGGCTACTGAGAAGCTAACCACTCCCTGCCTCTTGGGAGTGTTCCTTTGCCAGTGAGGCAGGGAAGCTAAAACAAGCAACTTCCTAGACTCGATTCATATAGGTGTGGCCACATGGCATGATTCTGGACAAAGAAACAAAAAAGCTTGCACAAAAAAACCTTCCTCTCCTGAACAGAGACAACACCTCAGGGAAGCCTCAGGCTTTGGTTCTTCCACTCATCCTGCCCAGGGCACAGACATTATGCTCTGTACCTCAGAAGGACGAAAATCACTCAACGAGGGAAGAATGGAAACAGAGAGAAAGCACTGGGCTCGGGGTGAACAAATAAGCAGTTTATGGGGCTGGCACTGTGGCGTAGTGAGTAAAGCCACCCCCTGCAGTGCCGGCATCTCAAATGGGCACAAGTTCAAGTCCCAGCTGCTCCACTTCCGATCCAGCTCTCTGCTATGGCCTGGGAAAGCAGTAGAAGATGGCCTAAGTTCTTGGGCCCCTGAACCCACATGGGAGACTCAGGAGAAGCTCCTGGCTCCTGGCTTCAGATCGGCACAACTTCGGCCATTGCGGCCAATTGGGGAGTGAAGCAGCAGATGGAAGACCTTTCACTCTCTCTCTTCCTCTCCTCTCTCTCTGTGTAACTCTTTCAAATAAATAACTAAAATCTTAAAAAAAAAAAAAAAAAAAAAAGCAGTTTATGCAGTCCTGGATTGCTCCAAATGCCCCCTTCTCCATCAACCCATCTCGTGGGACAGAACTCCTGAGATAGTGCCAGACTTTCCCATTTGGGACTCTGCTTGGCAAGCTGAGCCAGCTGCCTGGTGAAACTACATTGCCTCCAAGCTCTCAGCAGCCACTTGCCTTTCACTTCTTGAAAGCTAATCCTTCATACTTTGTCTATTCCCATAAAATACAACATACCCAGGCCTGGCACTGTGGCATAGCAGGTTAAGCCTCTGCCTGCAAAGGTGGCATCCCATGTGGGTGCCTGTTCATGTCCTCACTGCTACACTTCCAACCCAGCTCCCCGCTAATGGCCTGGGAAAGCAGTAGAAGATAGCCCAACTGCTTGGACCCCTGCTACCCATATGGGAGACCTGGATGAAGCTCCTGGCTCCTGGCTTCTGCCTGGCCTAGCCCCAGTCATTGTGGACATTTGGGGAGTGGGCCAGTGGATGGAAGATCTCTCTCTGTGCGTGTCTGTCCTCCACTTTCTGTAACTCTACCTTTCAAACAAATAAAAACATAAATCTTTAAAAAAAAAAAAAAAAACGCTTATCATACCTTTGAGGTCAAGGATTTCTACCAAAGGTAAGCCTTCATAGCATCAGGGCAATTACTCTACCCATCCTTAAATATTTTATCTTTTGAGTCTGGCACACCCATCTACTGTCATATTTTAGTCACAGCATCATTGTTATTAGATCATATCTACTTCTTTGTGCTAAAATGTGTTTGTTCACTGAACTTTTAGCAAACTGCAGAGTTTTGAGGAAAGGAATTATATAAAGAATGAAAGATGGGGCTGGCACTAAGGTGTAGCGGGTAAAGTCACCACCTGAAGCATCAGCATCCTATATGGGCACCCATTTGAGTCCCAGCTGCTCCACTTCTGATCCAACTCCCTGCTAGGGTGCCCGGGAAAGCAGCAGAAGATAGCCCAAGTGTTTGGGACCCTGCCACATGGGAAACCCAGATGAAGCTCCTGGCTCCTGGTTTCAACTTGGCCCAGCCATGGCTGTTGTGGTCATTTAGGAAGTTAACCAGCAGATGGTAGACTTCTCTCTCTCTTTTTTTTTTTTTTTTTTTTTTTTTTGGACAGGCAGAGTGGACAGTGAGAGACAGAGACAGAGAGAAAGGTCTTCCTTTGCCATTGGTTCACCCTCCAATGGCCAGCGCACCGTGCTGATCCAATGGCAGGAGCCAGGTACTTATCCTGGTCTCCCATGGGGTGCAGGACCCAAGCACCTGGGCCATCCTTCACTGCACTCCCTGGCCACAGCAGAGAGCTGGCCTGGAAGAGGGGCAACCGGGACGGAATCCGGTGCCCCAACCGGGACTAGAACCCGGTGTGCCAGCGCCGCAAGGAGGAGGATTAGCCTAGTGAGCCGCGGAGCCGGCCAGTAGACTTCTCTTTCTCCCTCTGCTTCTGCCTCTTCCTCTCTGTAACTCTTTCAAATAAAATAAATAAATATTTTTATTTTTTTTATAGTCCATGATATATTTGATTACTGGTATAACCATAGTTGAAGACTTTAAAAAACAAAAAAGTGACATTTTCCATAATGATTCTAAAGGATTTATAAAAGGTTTCTGTTTCCAAAGATGTTATTGGGGTCCACGTACTCCTTGACAGACTTCAGCATCCCAAAGCCGACGTCAGAGATACTTTCCTTTAGCCACTGCTTCCGTAATTTGCCCACTCCATGATGATGTGAGAGGCTCCCTCCGTTAGCAAGGATTTCGTCTCTAGCAGCTGCCTCAGTTTGTTCAAACACGGACAGTGGGTCACTAATTCCCCTGTAGTTAAAGGCAAAATAGAAGTAGATACATGCACCTGCATCGTATATTTGAGTCACCCTGCATGTGGAAAGAGGAGCAAATTGAACACCCCTCTCTTTGCATTCCCTTACTATTCTTTCTTTGACATTTCTGCAGAGATCTATAACCCTGTCCCAAGGAGCAGAAGTCTCAAAAGATTCTCCTAATACATAGTATTCCAAACCCAAGTCTCGAATGTACGCAATGACATAGGTGAGTAAATAACCTCTCTGTCCATTATCTTCTCCGGCAGCCAGCCCACCAAATTTTGCAGCAATATCATATACTTGTTTTTCATGTTGAAGAACTTTCTCACGGTCCCCCTCAAACAATAATGTGGCTACACTTAGCTGATTTGGATCGAATCCTTTAAACTTTGTGATATAAAACTTTTTTAATCCATCCAAAAAAGATGTAAAAATAGAGGAAACCTGAGGTTTAAGAGCATGACCAAACTGAAACTGCTGGTTGTCCATGAGGCGAATAGATGCAGGAGCACATCTCTGTTTTGCAATTTCTCTTAAACAGGCTACTCCTTGTTCAAAATTAGGGAAAGCTACTGAGCCATACTTTTGGTATTCTGGGACTGGTCTGATTTTTATTGTAGCTTCTGTTATTACACCAAGAGTTCCTTCAGATCCCATGATGAAGTGATGGATATCAGGGCCTGTTGACATACGAGGTCCTTGACAGCTTTTTTCTATTGTACCTCTAGGTGTTACCATTTTTATATGAACCACCAGGTCCTCAATGTTGCCATAGATATTCTTCTTCATGCCTGATGCCCGAGTTGAAATCCATCCTCCCACAGTGCTAAATTCCAGAGAATCTGGTTCGTGACCTGTACAATAACCACTTTCCTTAAGCTGTCTTTCCAACTCTTGTCCTGTTATGCCAGCCTCTACATGAGCTGTCAGGTTGTTCTCATCAACCCAAAGGATTCGATTCATTTGTGAAGTGTCCAAAGAAATAATTGTTCGTGTCTCATCTGCAGGACACATCAGGCCATATGAAACACTTGTTCCTCCACCAATTGGTATGATACAAAGGTTATATTTGCATGCTAGATTCACAATCTTAACTACATCATCATGACATGTTGGCCATAAAACTATATCAGGAATTCGCTGAAACATTCCTTCCCTGAGCAAAAATATCTCATGAAGACAATGACCATGAGCTCTAAATACTCGATCTTCTGCTTCCTGTGAATATGAAATATTGGTTTCTTTAAGTTCATGAAGAAAATCTTCATTTACAATAGAAGGAGGTGTATCACTAGGATTTAAAGATGCTTTAGAGGTAGTTTTATGCTCCAGAGTTACTCCAAGGGTATTTTGGATCCATTCTCTAAGAGTTGGTAAAACCATGCCACTAAGAGGATACCTTTTCCCAGTCAATTCAGCTTGCCCCTTTTTATTGAAGAAGAATTTGGAATCATTATATCCCCATCCATTCCATTTCATAATTTCTTGCCGCTTCTTGGGGATGATGCCCGACTCTTGCACGGCGGGAGTGGCCAAAATAAATAAATATTTTTAAAAAGAATGAAAACTATATGACTATACAGATCTGTGCCTAATATATGTAGAAAACAGTGTGCAAAATAAAAAAAAATGGCTTGAAATAAAAAATAAAATCTACTCAGGTTCCCAGGTTTGTGTTCCTCACTTCACTCCTGGATTACCTGCCTCCAAGTCTCAGACTCAGTTTTTCCACTGTATATAGCTTTTTTTTTTTTTAAGAATTATTTATTTATTTGAAAGACAGAGTTACAGAGAAAGAGGGAGAGAAGGAGAGAAAGAGAGAGAAGATCTTCCATCTGCTGGTTCACTCCCCCAAATGGCCACAACGACCAGAACTGGGCCGATCTGAAACCTGGAGCCAGGAAATCTTCTGGGTCTCCCATGTGGGTGCAGAGGCCCGAGCCCTTGGGCCATCTTCCACTGTTTTCCCAGGCCATCAGCAGGGAGCTGGATTGGAAGAGGAGCAACTGGGACTCGAACAGGTGCCCATATGGGATACTAGTGTTACAAGCAGCAGCTTTACCCACTATGCCACAGCACCCCTGTATATAGTCTTATGCTGTTATAAAAGAACACTATCTAAACACGTCCACATACAACTTGGTTCACCAAAAACTCTATTGAAAACCCTTTATCATGTCATTTTCTTATTTGGTTTCTCTAATGTCGCTGCTGTTGAAATATAAAATGCTGCCTTTCCTGCTTGATCAAATATTAAAGTATTTTTAATTACTCTAAGGTAGGTAGGGTCAAGTAATATTTTAACAATAAGCTGTTGAAGCTTTTAGAAGTGAGCTTTTCTCTAAAAGTTATCCTAAAAAATGGTGATTCGCTTAAATTTTACATGACATTCAACAGCTAAATATACTCTTTTAGATCATTTCTGATGTTATCTCTCCCATCCAGGCTTGATTGACTTTGCCTGCAGACCCCACCTGGAGACTCACCCTGAGGCTGTTCTCCTTTGTGCATTACTTTATTCCAGCTTCTGCTCCATTGGCTGCACTCAGCTCAGCCCTGAAGCCACACAGTTGCTGTTATCAGCTCCTTGCCGCTTTCACAGGTGCTAATGCACGCTCAAACCTGTCACCCCCTCCCCCACCATCACCATCACCACCACCACCCAACTAGTCTGAAGTATTTTCATTTTAGATACATTAGTAAATCCAGTGTTAATGAAGACACCATTTCATATTTTAAATATTGAAACAATTTATGATTATACATTACCTTTTTGTTCTTTAAATTTTTTAATAATTAGCTAGGCCCAACTCATAGTTTGGGAACTATCGGGTATTTCGTCAAGAATGCCTGAGCATTAGCCTGGGAAAACATTCAGAGCACATTGATTCAGGTGGCATGTAGGATTTAAGGGCATGCAAACAAATTTGACAAATGTCCTATTGAGAGGGTTTTGTGGTTTAGGTTTGTTCCTTCATTTTTTTAACGTGAAGCTGGATTCCCCTTTATGCCCACTTCCCGTCATCTTCCTCCCCCACTGGACACTTGGTATTGTCCTTCTGGGAGCAACCATTGTCATAATTTGGTATACATTCTCCTAGTCAGTACTTTGGCAAGTAAGATGGAGTACATTGACCTTGGGGGGTGAGACCTCATGAAAAGAATTCGTCAAGTGTTCATCAAAGAAGGATGTGCTTTTCTCAGGAGAGAACATCCAAGGCTTATGGCCTTGTCTAAATACTGACAGAGTTTGTGGATTCAAAAAGCTTCCACAGCCTAGGCAACTCATGTCAAGAGCCTTCGGTGATCACTGATGTCATATGTAAGAGTGTTAATTGTTAAATTAACAACAAGAGTCACTAACTTACCATGCAGGACCTCTGTCCTCAAAGAGTTGTATTACGAAAGTTAACAGAAAAACTTGTTCTCAAAGAAAAAAAAGAAATTTCATGGCAAACATAAAAATAAAAATAATAACAATAAGGAGTGACAGCTAGAGTTCTAACAATCTAATTAAACAATTTTGTGCTTATGTGATAATTATTGCCAGCCTAAATGGCTCTGTTAATTGCTTTTATTTGTTACTGAGTAGTTGTGTTTTTGTTTTTGTTTTTGTTTTGTTTTGTTTTGTTTTTTTTGACAGGCAGAGTGGACAGCGAGAGAGAGACAGAGAGAAAGGTCTTCCTTTGCCATTGGTTCACCCTCCAATGGCCGCTGCAGCCGGCACACCACACTGATCCATAGCCAGGAGCCAGGTGTTTCTCCTGGTCCCCCATGCGGGTGCAGGGCCCAAGCACCTGGGCCATCCTCCACTGCACTCCCTGGCCACCGCAGAGAGCTGTCCTGGAAGAGGGGCAACTGGGACAGAATCGGGTGCCCCGACCGGGACTAGAAGCCGGTGTGCCGGCGCCACAAGGCAGAGGATTAGCCTAGTGAGCCACGGCGCCAGCCTACTGAGTAGTTTTGAAATTCACAAAGTGTTGTTTATAATATTAACCAAGACCTCTGGGAAATTTTCAATGAAGTTTGGAAAGATATTGCAATAAAAGACTTCATTATTGCTGCAAAAAAAAAAAAAAAAGATGGAATTCATTTTCATGTAGCAATTGCTATTCTTTTCCATCTCCTGTGAGTTATTGTATGAGATCTTTGGCCCAGTTTGTGTTAGGTAGTCTGTTTCTTAGGGATTTGTAGGAACTTTTTATGTTCTAGATTCCAAAATGTTATCTTAATATAAAAGTTTATCTTGGCTCTCAGTTCTTTACTGAGATGCCTGCTTGGTCTGTCAGGTGTACTCTCTTCATTATTTCTCTTCATTAAACTTGGCTAGCACATTTACCACTAAAAAAGAAAAAAATATATCCTGAGTGCTGGTGTTGTGGCATAGTGAGTGAAGTCTCCACCTGAGACTCTGCTGTCCCATATGGGCACCAGTTTCTGGCCCAGCTGCTCCACTTCCAATATAATACCCTGCTAGTGGTCTGAGAAAAGCAGCAGAAGATGGCCCAGTATTTGGTACCTGCCACTCAAGTGGGAGACTCATGAAACTCTTGGCTTCACACTGGTCCAGCCCTGGCCTTTGCAGCCATCTGGGGCGTGAACCAGGGGATGGAAGATTGATTCTTCCTTTCTCTCTCTTTCTAGCTTTCTCTCCCCACTGTCTCTCTCCGTATAAATTTAAAAAAAAAAAAAATTTATCCTTGGGGCCGGCGCTGTGGCGTAGCAAGTAAAGCCGCTGCCTGCAGCGCCAGCATCCCATATGGGCACCGGTTTGAGTCCTGGCTGCTCCACTTCCAATCCAGCTCTCCGCTATGGCCTAGGAAAGCAATAGAAGATGGCCCAAGCCTTTGGGCCCCTGCACACACGTGGGAGACCCAAAGGAGGCTCCTGGCTCCTGGCTTCAGATTGACGCAGTTCCGGCCATTTCAGCCAACTGAGGAGTGATCATCTGCTGGGTCTCCCCACATGGGTGTAGGGCCCAAGTACTTGGGCCATCCTCTGCTGCTTTCCCAGGAACACTGGCAGGGAGCTGGATTGGAAGTGGAGCAGCCAGGACTCAAACTGGCACCCACATTGGATGCTGGTGCTGCAAGCTGTGGCTTTTTTCTCTGTCTCTCCCTCTCTCTGTCTGTAACTCTACCTCTCAAATAAATATATAAAATCTTTTAAAAAAGCAGAATGGTGGTGATCAGGGTTGAAGAGGGAAAGAGTGCCTCTGTCTCTGCCTCTGCTTCTCTCTCTGTGTAACTCCGAGTTTCAAGTAAATAAATAAATCTTTAAAAAAAAAACTTTATCCTGTCCTTTTTTGGACAATTTTTAAATTATGACATAAGCAAATTTACCACTTTACCTAATGACTTCTGCTTTATGTGTCTTCTGTTAAAAGAAATTGTTCCTATTACAGTCATAAAGATATTCCTCTATATTTTCTTCAATAGTCTTAAAGTTTTACTTTTCACAGTTAGGTTTTTAATCCATCTAAGATTTTTTTTTAATGTACCACATGAGGAAGCTATCTAATTCATGCTCTCAACACATGTGTTAAGTTAAAAAACTTTCTTCTACTGATTTGCATTGTCATCTGTAGCAGTGTTCTGGAGGTTCCTTAATATATTTTCCTCCTTTATTCTATATATTAGGGGAATGTTTAACTAAAAACATGAACATCCAGACTTAATTACATTTCCCAGTCATATTTGCAACTAACTGCAGCCATGTTCTGGCCAAGGAATTGTTAGTGAAAATAATGTATCAGTTCTTCATGAAATGTCCCCAAAGGGAGGAAGCATTGCTTTTTCCTTTACCTCTTTCTTATTGGTGGAATAAAGACATGATGGCTAGAGCTGGAGTAGCCATCCTAAACAGCAGTTGAGTTTAGAAAATAAAGTAGGGGCTGGCGCTATAACACAGCTGGTTAAGGTCACAGCTTGCAGCACCAGCATCCAATGTGGGTGCCAGTTTGAGTCCTGGCTGCTCCACTTCCAATCCAGCTCCCTGCCAGTGTTCCTGGGAAAGCAGCAGAGGATGGCCCAAGTACTTGGGCCCTACACCCATGTGGGGAGACCCAGCAGATGATCAGGGCTCCTGGCTTTGGCCTGAACCAGCCCTGGTCGTTGCAGCTGTTTAGAGTGTGAACCAACAGATGGAGGATAACTCTGTCTCCTTCTGTCTCTGTAATTCCACTTTTAAATTTCAAATAAATCTTTAAAAAAAATGGAAGTTAAAGAGATATCTATATTTCGATGCTTATTGCAGCACTACTCACAGTAGTCAAGAAATAGAAACAACCTAAGTGATCATCTACTGAAAAATAGAGATAAAGATGGTACATATACACAATGGAATATTACTCAGTCACAAAAAAAGGATAAAATCTTGTCATTTGCAACAACATGGATGAAATGAAAGGTCATTGTGTTAAGTTAAATAAACCATGCACAGAAAGATAAGTACCACATGATCTCACTCATATGTGTAGTCTAAAAAGATGTTAAAATGGTGGGGCTGGTGCTGTGGCATAGAAGGCTAAGCCTCTG